CAAGCCCGAACCACCCCCCTTGCTCTGGCGCCCTGGTGGCGCACCACAGCACCAGAAAGGAGTTCAGGCGAGCTTAATCGGGCCAAGGGGAAAGCCCGAACAGCCCCGCGGGGCGGTAAGGCCCCGCTTGGGGGGTCATTCAGGCCAAGCCCGAACCACCCCCCTTGCTCTGGCGTCCTGGTGGTGCACCACAGCACCGAAAAAAAAGAGAGACCAGGATCGCTCTGAGATCCCTGGCGCGGAGGAAGGCCCATCTTGGGGGGTTCCTTCGGGCCGAGCCCGAACACCCCCTGGCTTGGGATGACCCAGTGGAGCTCCCAACAACAGTCGGGGGGTAACGCGATCCCCTTGTAGGGGTTCGTCCAACCCAACCTCGTTCTGGGGGGCTCCTTCGGGCCAAAGGAACAGCCCGAACAGCACCCCTGGCCTGCGTCGCCCCGGTGGCGGAACCCCAGCGAGCTCAAAGGAGGTGCTCATCGGAGACTGCGTATCTCCTTACAGGCCGCCCCGTGCGTCCTCCCCGATTATTCAATGCTGGGGCCGTGCTCACCTTTGGCACGGGGATGATGATGAGGAGGAAGAGGTGGAGGAGGAGGCGGAAGAGCACGAGGGGGGAGGAGGAGGGATGGTGACGGAGGATGCAACGAGAGGGGGATGATGAGGAGGGGGAGAGGGGCGCAGGCAAGCTATGTGCGCTCGCGCCACATCTGGCGTCCTGTCCCTTTCTCCGATTCCCTCCACTTGCGTCGTTTTTTCCTCTATCCGCGGACGCGTGTCACAGCCGACCTGGAACTCCAAAAACGACCCCGTCGTATTATGCGCAATCGGAACAGGGGAGCTGCGTACATAAGAGGAGGAGGAGGAGGAGGAGGAGGAGGAGGAGGAGGAGGAGGAGGAGGAGGAGGAGGAGGAGGAGGAGGGAGGAGTTATACGCGGTTTCAATCATGTTGGGAGGAGCTGGAGGGAGGAGGAGGAGGAGGGAGGAGGAGGAGGGAGGAGGGGAGGGAGGAGGAGGAGGAGGAGGAGGAGGAGGAGAGGAGGAGGAAGAGGAGGAAGGAGGAGGAGGAGAGGGAGAAGGAAGAGGAGGAGAAGGAGGAGGAGTAAGAGGAGAGGAGGAAGAGGAGGAGGAGGAGGAGGAGGAGGAGGAGGATGAGGAAGGGGAAGTGGCGGATGAGCAGGAGGAGGAGGAGCAGGAGGAAAAGGATGATTATGATGCTGATGCTGATGCTGCTGCTGCTGATGATGATGTCGATTATGATACCGATGCTGATGATGCTGATGATGCTGCTGATGATGAGGATGAGGATGATGCTGATGATGCTGATGATGCTGATGATGGCAATCGTGATGGTGATGGTGGTGGTGGTGATGGTGATGGTGGTGATGCTGATGCTGATGCTGATGCTGATGCTGATGCTGATGCAGATGCAGATGCTGCTGCTGCTGCTGCTGCTGCTGCTGCTGCTTCTGCTGCTGCTGCTGCTGATGATGATGATGATGATGATGATGATGATCATGATGATGACAGAGGACGGCGAGGACGAACAGCAGCAGCAGGAATTGAAGCTCAACGAGCGGGATGAGCAGAAGGACCAGGAGAAGGCGGAGGAGGGGAAATGAGGGGGGCGATAACGATGGGAAAATATTCGGATCCATGAGCCATGATCGGTGATGAATGCTGCAGTCGGCCTTCCACAGAGCCAAATATTTTGATACGAAAGAACTGTGCAACTCGACCCCAGGGTCCTTGGGACCGGACAGTAACGCCAACGCTGTGGTCAAGCACCGTCCCTTCGCGAGGGAGAGAGGAGGAGGATGCAAGCCCCAACGCCGCGAACCAATGTTACTGTTGCGCCTCCACGAGCCTGAATAGTGCCAGAACGCTATTCCTGAGACTTCAACACCGCGAAGAACGTAACTGTTGCGCCCTGACGCGCCTACATCGTGCCACAACACCATGTCTGGGACGTCAACCGTACGAGTCATTGACACAATTCCAATTTCTCAAGACGAGTGTGCGCGGCGCTAATGCGAGAACCACATTTTGAAAACCGCCCGCCCTCCATCCAAGAAGCTCGTGCAAAACTGTAAAACGAATATGCGGGGTGCTTGGACGAGAACAAGGTACCCTCCATCCGTGAAGCTCTTGCAATGTGTAAGCTTCAATATCATATGTGGTGAAAACGTCCTCTTGCTTACTTTGCTCCTCCTACTCTGCTCCTCCTACTGTGCCCCCCCTCCTTCCTTCTGCTCCTCAGGACTGCGGACCTTTGGTTCCCTCCAAGAGCTGCGGCCCAGCTTACTTCCTCAAGAACCAGGAACGCGGGCTTCCTGTGATCCGCGATGGGTGCTGCCTTCGACCCCCCTCCACCTGGCCAGCGCACGGGGCGCCAAAGAAAACCAGGAGGTAACAGGAATAGAGAGAGAGAGAGAGAGAGACGGGTACGAACAGGATGAATATACGATGATAAGATGCTGCACCAGCCGGTGTGCCTGCCTCCTCCTCCTCCACCTGCTCCCGGTCCTCCCAGGCCCCATTTCCCTCCTTCCAGCCTTCGCCGAACGGCAGCTGAGGGGCCAGAGGCGTGAGAGCCCGGCGGGCGGGCGCCTTTTTCCGCGCACCACTCGCTCTCTTTCCCTCTCGCTTCCCTGCACGCGGCTTGGCCTCGCGAGCGGTGATCGCTGCGGGCTCACGGCGATGATACTACTGATGTCTAAAACCCTCCTCCCCCCCTCCTCCTCCTCTTCCTGCTCCTCCTCCTCCTCCTCCTCCTCCTCCTCCTCATCCCGCTCTTCCTCCTGCAGGCGGCGCGCCGGTCTGTCGACGCGCGCCCGCTCTGTAACCCTGATCAGGGCGAGCTCCGCGACGATTGTGTAGAGCGCCACGACGTGCCGGATACCGCTCAGCCGGCCAGGCCGGCGGCCAGGGCCACGCGGGCGCTCTGCTGGGCAGCTTCCGCGCCCACCGCGGTCCGCAGCTGGCGCGCTGTGGCCGCTCCCCAGCGCCGGGCGAGGGCGCTGGCCGCGGCCGCGGCCGCGGCGGCGTCGTTCACGGCCAGCAGCTGCGCCTGGTCGCGCGCGAGGCACCGCTGGTGGCGCAGGGCAGCCGGGCCATGACGACCGCTCGTCTCCCGAGCCAGCGGCGCCATCCGCCAGGGCGCGCGCCTGGCGGGATACCGCTGGTGCTTGTCCGCCTCTGCGGCCTGGGCGACTGCGCCGTCCCGTGCGGCGGCGGCCCGGAGACCCTTCACGTCGCCCGGCACGCCGTAACGCACCGTGACGTCGAGGAAGACCCGCTGGATCTGGAGGTCAAGGATTGCCTCCTCCCGCTGCGCTGTCAAGCCAGCAGCGCCGCAGTGGGTGCAGGCCGTCCCAGCCGCCAGGCGCGCCGCCGCCGCGCCGCCCGCGCCACAGCCCGCCCAGTGCCAGCGCCAGCGGTCCCAGGCCGGCACAGGCGTCTGCCGCACGACGCGGTAGCCGCAGTCGGCGTGGATCCGCTCGCAGCGGCGACTTGGAGACGGCCCCTGCGCGAGCTGGCGCCGAGGGGGTCCCCGCAGAGATGGCCGGCGCGCTGCCCAGTGCGGGCGCGGTTGTGGCAGGTGGCCCCAGCGGGGGCGGCGTCCTGGCCCAGCAAGCAGCGCGCCGTGGAGCGAAAGTCAGGGTCCTCCAGGCGCTGCCCAGGCGTGCCAGGCGAGGCAGACTGCCAAGCTGCCGCGTGCGGGCCGCAGCAAGAGCGGAGCAGCGCCAGGTCATTTTCCGAGTCCAGGGAGCCCAGCCAGGAAGTGACCTCCTCCTTCCCCTGCCCTTCCTGTCCCTTCCTGCCGCTGTCCCTTCGTCATCGTCATCGTTAAAGCCCCCGCAGGGTCAGTCAGCATCAAATCGGGGAATCGGATCGATCGACACACGCATCGGATCGGACTGCATCGGCACGGAATCGAAATCGAATCGGATCGGCTTCGCCAGGATGCATAACAACGCCACGCAAGCGTCGGGCCACATTGGATCGTCGGAGTATAGAATTCGAATCAGATCGGATTGGCAGAAATCGACATCGAATCGGATCAATCGGGTCGAAATGGACCCTGCATCATCATCGGCATCATTCTCAGTATCACCGGCATCATCATCACCAACATCATCATCACCACCACCACCACCACCATCATCATCATCATCATCATCATCATCATCATCATCATCATCATCAACATCATCATCATCATCATCATCATCATCATCATCTTCATCTTCATCTTCATCCTCATTATCATCCTCATCATTCCCATCATCATCACCATCATTGTCATCATCGTCGTCATTGTCATCCTCATCGTCATAATCACCGTCACCATCCTCACCATCCTCACCATCATCACCGTCATCACCATCAACGCCCTCATAATAATCACAACTGTCACCATCGTCACCATTCGTCACCATCACCATCACCGTCATCATCATCATCACCATCATCAACACTATCACCATCGACATCATCCTCACCGTCACCATCATCACCATCATCGTCATCACCATCATCACCATCATCATCACCAACACCATCATCACCACCATCATCATAACCATTATCATCATCACCAGTATCAGTATCATCATCACCACCATCATCATCATCATCATCATCACCATCACCATCACCATCATATTTATCAGCATCGTCGTTGTCGTCAGCATCATCAGCATCATCATCACCATCATCAGTATCAGCATCATCTTCATCATCCCCATCATCACCGTCATCACTATCACCATTACCATCTCCGTCATCATGGCCCACCCATCCTGCCGTCGCGGCCCCTCCTCCTGCGGTGACTCCCGCTTCTGCTCTTGCTCGTTTTCCTGCATCGGCTCCTGCGCCTGCCCTGGCCGCGGCTCCTGCTCGTGCTGCCTGCTCCTCCTCGTCGCCCCCTTCCCCTCCTCCTCCTCCTCCTCCTCCTCCTCCTCCTGCAAGTCCATCTCCTCCTCCTCCTCCTCCTCGTCCTCCGTCTCCTGGTCCTCCCTGCTGGGCGAGAGGCGCAGTGCCACCCACCTTGCTTCTTAGACTGTAAATGCTCTAGGCACAGGCGGCATGCCAACCACAACACATGGCGTACTAAAAAAATGGCTTGTGCCTCCAAGGGTGGCCAAGCGGAGAAGAAGAAGAAGAAGGAGAAGGAGAAGGTGCAGAAGCATTCGCAGTAGGAGTAAGAGGATGACGACGACACAGAGGTTGACTTACTTGAGGAACCCGCAGGCCCGGTAAGAACTCATACCCACAACCCAGTAGGAACTCACAACCTTGTCGTGCCATGCAATGGTAACGTCTTCTACATGACGCTGTATGGTGTATGATTTTCGTAGGATGTGCAGATCTGTTAGGGTGTTCTGTCATATGTACTCAGTCTCAATATTTTTCTGGTTTACGGTCTGGGATGCTTAGTGTGCTACATCGGGCCCTGAGACACGCCATCCCTTGCAAGCTGATGCCGTGTCACTCTGCTTCGAGGGACGGGAGGCCCGGAAAAGCTCCGAACGTTGATGCTTCGGGATTGAGATTTGGTTAGCGTGTCGTGCCGAAGTGGGGTGGGCCAGAACTGGCGGCGCGACACGCTAAGCAACCGTTCCTCACCGTACGCTTTTTCCACGCCTCCCTCTCCTCCTCCCCCGCCTCCTCCTGCTCCTCCTGCTCACTCCTCTTCCTTCTTCTCCCTCCATCCCCATGTTCCTCCTCTTCCTCCTCCCGCTACTCCCTGCTGCCTCCTGATCCTTCTCTCATGCTCTGTCCTCCTTCCTCCTTTCCGCTCTTCCCCCTCTGTCATCATCCCTCTTCCCCCTCTTCCCGACACTTTGCGAGCGGGACGCGGCCAGCGAAAGCGGCCAAGAATGGGCCCGAGGGGAAGGATGCAAGGGTACTTGGAGAATCGCTCGTCCTTGCTATGCGGGTTGACTGTACGGGGCCCCCGGAAGTCCAAACACTTTCCCCACGGATGCCCCTTCCCCAGACATGAGCGCGTTGAACCAGAATCAGGACCGGAATTTTTTCGCTATCTTCGGCCCCTGGCGGGCCCTCGTCGGGCCCCAGGACCGTCAGCAAACGGTTTAGGATCAAAAGTTCGTAATGGGCAGCCGGGCGGGACTTCTGGGGAGGCCGTATTGAAAAAATCAGGACTTCACCTGTCTGGGTCTGTGCACGTACAATCGCGCGTGAAGACTCCGCTGGCCGCGTACGGAACGAAACACTTCCCGCGGGGGCCTGCACAGGAGAAGGCAGACACGCGTGCCAAGCCCGTGTTCGACTTCCCCCCTTCCGCACAATGTTCTGACGTGCGGGAACTCGCTGGTCGCAAGTTGGATACCCCTCCTAAGTACAGAACGGAACTCTATACACCGACGCAAGTCCCGGCCTCGCACTGAACTTCGCACAAGACAGCGGATCCCCTGATGTACACATTTTTCGTTGTTCCCCCCAGGAAGCTGAAAAACAAGTATACACCACACCACCCCGACGTCGTCCCCGACCCTCAAAAAGTCCTGGGATTGAAAAACAGCCCGCCCCTGGAAATGTATATGTTCCAGTTTCCGAATAGGGGCCTGCACACGTGAAGGCACGTGCCAAAAGGCGCGCGTGCCAGGCGCATGTTCAACCTCCCATGAGCATTCTTCAGTGTGGGAACTCGCTCGCCGCATGCTGGAGCCTCTTCCTGGGGGCCTGCGCACGTGAAGGCACAGCTCCAAGGCGCG